CGACAGTCTACCAACTGTTACAAATACACAGATCACGGGTTGAACTCTCGGGGTCGACACAAATACTGTACACAGGTAAGGTGAGGACTAGGGATCGAGCCCTGGGATCTGCATCGGCTACTGCGAACAGGTGAATACTGTTTCAAAAGCGACTTCGCACGGTCCTAAGCCACAGGCCGGGGGGGGGGGGGAAGGGAGGAACAGACTCTGTCGAAATGGCTGATCGTTTTTTTTTTTTTTTTTTTTTTCCCTTCTTGGATTTTTTTTTTTTTTTACGGAGGCAATTGGCCTGCCTGCCGCGCAGTGATCACCACCCAATCAACGAAAAGACAGACGGGGGGGGGAAGAACGGACCGTGTGGAAATGGCTGATCGAGGTAATACGATCAGTTTTTTTTTTGTTTTTGTTTTCCTCCTTCTGGCTACCGTGCAGCAAATAACGGAGATTCGTGTAGCATGCGCAGGTACTTATTGCAAACATGATGCTCACAGGTTTAGAGAAGAAGTACAAGAATATTGTGATGAAATCTTAATTACAGATGACCATACAGAAGTAGGAAACATGATTGCTAGGATTGAGCCTGCTGCAATCTTTGGCACTCAAATGGAACGGCTGTCCAGGGTCTTATCTTCGGCTGACTGGCCAGCACATCGGGCGCATGGGAAGGAGGGTGGGAATGGGGCGAATGGATATGACCGCGGGGAAGCGACGACAGGTGGAGGTGACAGGAACGAGGGAGAGTAGAGACATGGAAAGAGAGAAAGAGAGATGGCTGATCGAGATGAATCCATCTTCTTTGTTTTTTTCCCGATTTATTTTTTTTCCTTTTTCAGAGAGGAGGGGGAAAGGAATAGCTCTCTAGGCTCCTATCTCGGCCTAACTGATGCGCAGATAAGCAGAAGAGGTTAGCTGGGGGAGGGGAGGGACAGCGGGACGGTGGGGAGGAGCCGAATGGGTTCGATTTCTTTTTTTTTCTGGTTTTTCTTTTTCCGTTCATGTGTTTTTTTTTTTTCCGTTTTTTTTTTTTTTGCGACAAGAGGGKGGGAAGGGGGCAAATCGATTGAGAGACGGTTTTCTTTTTTTCAGTGCCGATGAATACGCAAGATGGAATGGTTGGCATCATGTCCTCCACACTGACACCATCGAACACATAATCGACCAGATTCTATGGGAAGACTTCCTCCTCACAGACCACGCTGCTTTCTCCCCCTCTCTCTACACCTTCTTCGCGACATACAAACACAATCGAGAACAAGAGCTTAATCGACCTCGGCCCAGCCCCTCCATCGCGACCATATTTACTCAATCGAAAACATTCTTGCTGCAGCTCCTCCAGCGTGACCATTACCACTCCACCGGTTCTCATGCTGGCTTGCTGAAATACAGACATGATGGCATTATCGACGCACACCACAAATACGCATTCATCAGTTCGGCGCAACCGACACCGCCCCCCCTTCTCCTTCCTGTACACGAAACAGATCCTAACTGGTGGCGCCCCCTTGCACCATGGGGATGTGCACGCGCCACTGCTCTTATCCATGACATGCTCGCTTCTTACCACACACTCTCCATCTACAACATCCCACATGCCCCGCGTACGTAGGAATACCTCAGTGACCTCATTGTTGTTTATCAATGTGAAACACAATCCCAACTTCCTCCCTTCCCTGTGTACAGAACTGATATCATTCGCAAGGCTCTACGTCTTCTCCAAGCTCAAGACTCCTCTGGCCGCTCCAAATGAAGCCCGCCGACGACGGACAACACTGAGCCTCTGCAGCCGGTGAGAACAAATGGCACTTCTGATGGAACAACAAAGACAAAGGATGGCTTCATGTCTGGACCGGGACTTCTCTTCGGATGGAGACGATTGTCGCTGCCATCTACACTGAAAGCTGCCCCACATATCACTAGCGTGACCAGCCACTCTTTTTTTTAGATTGACAGAAAAAGAAACACAAACACAAATGCAGTGAAATGTGGAATACCCTTTGGAACTTTCCTGTATGATGCATTCTTTTGCTCTCATCTCTACATGTTGTGTCTCCTCCTGTTTCCTCATTTGCCACCTTCTGTGCTCTTCTGGCCGCGAGCGAAGCCGCGGCAAGTCATCTTGTTTTATTTTATTTTTTGTTTCAAGTGTGTGGGGTTGTTGCGCCACGTGTCCAACCCCCCGTGCGCCTCCCGCATTGTTGCTGAAACGCCGAGAGGCCGCCGTTTTCCCATTTAACGGGAATTCAACGCGGCTCTGGGGGGGTTAGCACGTTTCAACGGCCATTTAACTGGAACCCCCCCCCCATGTTGAAAAGACACCCAGTAGCGACCAACGTTGGAGTGACACATCGCAGTGACATTCAGGGTAGATCCTAGGAGCAAGAGAGAGAGAGAGCTTGAGCGCACGGCAAGGTTGTGTGATACAAGACCTGAGCGAGAGAGAGAAAGAGAGAGAGAGATGCCAGACGTGGGGAAGGGAGAGTTGGCCGCATGCCTGTGTTGAGATTGCAGCTATGAGTCGCGGCTGTTGCTGCTGGATACTTGAACTCTCCAATTGCAACATATCATATTTTTGAGTGGAAATACATCTGGCGCTGATTCGTGTGTTATCTCTCAGGTGTGGTGTGAACTTTCATGTGAATGTCCTCATCTTGCATGTGCGAGTTGGTTTGGGATTGCGAGTTTCATTGCACAGGTATGTACCCAAATCTTCTCCCCCTACCCTACTGTGTGATGCTCCCTCTCTCTTGCTCAATATCAATCCTTGTATT